AATCTGATTTAGAAGCAAAAAAGAGCAAAGACTTCAGTGGTATGGATGGAGTTCAAGGAGGTGGTACTCCCTAATGGCACCAAAAAGGTTGAGTGTATCCATTGCAAAGTCAAGTTGTGTATTAATGCCACCGAAAGCACCACCCAGTTCAATAGACATTTAAACTGGTGTTTCAGGAGAAAAGCTTCCATGAGGCAACAACATATTAGTTTTCCGAGTATTGGTAATGATGTTCCAACTACTATTTTGCCAACTTTAAGTGGGAAGTTTGACATGTTGAAAATGAGGGAATTGATCGCCCATTGGGTGCTTATGCATGAGCGTCCATTTACAGTTGTGGAGGAAGAGGGCTTGAACAATATGATGAAGTATGGGATTCCTGGATGGACTCCGGTTTCCCGCCATACTTGTAAAAAAGATTATATCAATGTATATGAAAGTGAGAATGCCAAATTGAAGACTTTGTTGAAGACTATGACAAAAATCAGTTTGACTACAGACTTATGGAATTCAGGGAATCAAAAGATGGAGTATATGGTGTTGACTAGGCATTGGATAGATAGTACTTGGAGGCTGAATAGACGTATCCTCAACTTTGTTCGTCTACCTCCACCCCGGACTGGTATTGCGATTGCGGATGGCATTTTCAAGTTCCTAATGGGATGGGGAATTGAAAATAAGGTATATACTATTTCTGTAGATAATGCTTTAAGTAATGATGTTGCGATTAAGGTTTTGAAGGAAAATTTTGAAGTTTCGGGAAAACTCCTTTGTGGAGGTAAACTGTTTCATGTGAGATGTTGCGCACACATCTTGAACCTGATTGTTCAAGATGGACTTCATCAAATTAGGCACATTATTAACGACATCTATGAGTGTGTGTCATATATCAACAATTTAGAAAACAGGCTCAAGGTATTTTCTGAGATTGTTCAACAACTTAAATTGTTGTATCGGAAACTTATTCTTCATTGTAAAACAAGGTGGAATTCTACCTATGAAATGTTGGCAACGACAATTAAGTTCAAAAAGGTTTTTCCAAGAGTGAAAGAGAGAGATATCAATTACCATAATAATCCGAGTGACGAGGATTGGGAGAAAGTGGAGAAAGTTTGTGAAGTTTTGAAAGTATTCAGTGGTTCAACCAAACTCATTTCAAGAAGTGATTATCCGATGTCTAATTTATTCTTGAAGGAGGTGTGTGCAGTGAAATGTATATTGGATAGTAAAAGTGAATCTAAAGATGATTTTATTAGAGTAATGGTTAGGAAAATAAAACAGAAGTTTGATAAATATTGGGGGGAATGCAATGTGTTGATGTTTGTGGCTGCTGTATTGGATCCTCGGTTGAAAATGAGGGTTATTCAGTGGGCATTCCCTAAGATGTATTATGAGGCAGAAGGACGAGCAAATATGGTGACGGTCTGGGATGCATTGTATGAGTTATATGGGGAGTATGTTCAAGGTAACCAAGGTTTGACTATCGCCTGTGCTTCTACATCACAAGGGGATGGACATGGAGCCATTGGTGAGGTGGCTGCGGTTGAGGGAGCCGAGGCCTGGGATGATTTTAGCACTTTTCTAGACTTGGTTGAAACTGCTGAGCCTAGTCAGTCTAAGTTAGACTGTTATTTGGGAGAGGGATGCCATAAGTGTGTGGGGGATCATGACTCATTCGATGCCTTACAGTGGTGGAAGGCAAATTCAACCAAGTTTCCTATATTGTCTACGATGGCTCGAGAGATACTAGCCATCCCGATCACTACGGTTGCTTTAGAGTCTGCATTCAGTGCTGGGAGTAGGGTTATTGATAGTTACCGAGCCTCTTTTTCACCAGCTACGGTGGAGATGTGGTTATGTGGATGTGACTGGTGTCGCACTTTGAATGGAGTGAAGAAATGGTGCAAAGTAAGTTCCATTGCTTACATGTTTTGTTTAATTATATATTTAAAATAACTTTATTCTCACTTATAGATTATTTTTATCTCTTTTTCATCTTAGAAAGAGGAGGATGAGGATCACTTAGAGATTCAGCTTCTTGTTGTGTCAAGTTATGGGAGTCAGCAGATTGGTTGATTCACTCGTGAGTTATTGACTGTGGCAGTAGGATTCTGCAGGTCTATATTTATTACTTTTGTGTTCAGGTTTACATTTTCATCTTTACGGTTTATATAAAATGACAATTGTACTTAATGTGTTTCACATTAATTTGTTTGTAGGAGGAGTAGGGCTACAATGGACATACAGCCAATTATCTTTTGCTATTATATATATTTTTTTATGGATGGTGATGTCACTTGATGTATAGTTATGATAATCCCCCATTTTGTTTTTGTGAAAACTTTGTTAAGTCAAGTGAACTAAACAAAAAATATTTAGTTCACTTAACTTAATTTGTGATACATATAGTATGTTAAATGATAAATTGTTAATAGCAATAGCATTTCATTTAATGTTGATTTTAAGTAGGTTTAATTGTTGGGTGATGTATGAGGACATGAGAAGACATTCAGACAATCAGATTCAGACTTGCGTGCTCAGCAAATTAAAAAACAATAAATGAAAAGTGAAAATTTAGCATTTAGAATTTAGTTTGACTGTTTGAGGATGGCGAAAAATAAATAAATCAGTTTGACAAAATAAATTAAAAGTGAAAAATTTAACAAAATGCATCAGACATTATGATTTTTCTTCCTCTGCCCAGCAAATTAATGAAAAGTTAAATAATGATTTTTCAATTTTAAGCCCTTTGAATTCGCCTGCCATATTTTAAACTAGATTTTCTCATTTCTCAATATTGAACATTGATTCAGCTTCAAAGTGAAATTATGATTTGCATTTATTTGAATTTCAGACAATCAGACGCCCACTTGCTGCCCAGCGAATTTTAAGAAAAAAAATTGAATAAAAAAAAAAAAACACAATTATTTGGAGATGGCTTGCGAGTCGGCTTGAAATATGCCAAACCCATCACCGAGCCGAGCCAAGCCACATAATTTATGGCTCGGCTCAGCTCATTTAGTCTTCCTCTCTCACGAGCCGAGCTCGTTAAGCCGAAAACTCGGCTCAGCTCGGCTCGATAACACCCCTATGTGGGATGATATTAAATATATTTACGGGGCGTTATGGATCATATAATTTTTTTTATCTTAGTAATAAGATTACCAGAAATATAGATTATTTTGTAGATTAGTGAGTTTAAATTATTACAATTCTTGGTCAAATTGAGAAATATTAATAATTAATGTGTTTGGTTAACAATAATAACAGATGTCCTGAAATGACCTTTTATTAGAATGCCCTTTGGAAGATTATTTGTATTACTAATTAATCTGTTCGGTTAGCTATAAGAGCAAATATATTGATTACATTTTACTAAAATGCCCTTTAGATGATTGTCGGGTTTAAATAATTAATGTGTTTAGTTAATAAAACAAATAATCAATTAACAAAATTATTTTTCTTATATTTTAGCCAAGTATTTTATTGACAAATTTACATAGACTATTGAAACTTCGAAACAAAGCTATTGTATTTTCTATTGGGTATACACTCAACATCTCAACCTGTTATTGTAACTATTTAGTTCCCATCTCCCAATTTAAAACTTTGATTTATGTACTGCCCAAATTATAGCTCCTACATGTTGATTTCTACTTTAGTCCAATTGAAGCCTTTTTTTTTTTTTTTTTTTAAAGGCAAAAGAAAAATTGTATTTTTTTTATTTACACCATGGTTGGAATTTAGATGCAAGTTTCCAAATTTGAGAAATTTTGTTAACTTTTTCAATGTATCCTAGACCGAAATTATATGTGAAAAGTGTGAGAATTATTGGTACATTTGTAGTACTGTTCAGAAATGGCAATTAGAGTGCTATTCGGATCAAACAGGTGGAGACGAAGAACCGAGGTGCTGCGGCGAAGATGGTCGACCAATGGTAGAGGTAAGAGCGAGATCTTAGACTAACGAACGCAAAACAAACCTAAAATGAAAAATACAATGGAAAGAGGGTATTTGACTTACTAGAAAATGGCGATCGGAGCGATGAGTCGTGAATGAGATCAAGAAGAAGAAGACCAGCGGCAGCGATGGAGGTTGAGGGCAGAGTCTCGATCAAAATGTATATTAGGGCCAAGAATTTTTTTTCTTTTTATATTGTAGTTTTAGTGAAATAAAAGGGCATATTGGTCATAATATGCAAATATGTGAGGATAATATGGGCACACCAATATTTCATGGCATTTTTGAAAATATTGATAATAAGCAAGGCAATTTTGTCTGAAAAATTAAGAAACTGAGGACAAATCCGTCTTCTTGTGCAAATTGGGTGTTTTGTAATTATTAACAAAGCCAAGGATATTTACATCTACATTGTCCATTGGGGCAAAATTGGATTACAGAAGTAATATTTTAATAATACTCTCTCCTAGGTAATATTATTCCTGGCGATTTACCCCCAATTTGGTACTTTTTGACATTTTTTTTTTCCAGGAATAGTTTTTTACAAAACAACCAAACATAGTTATCTACCCAATTTAAAATATATTATTTCCATTATATAATATTAACCCGATCCAAACTGGCCTTACATGTTAAATGTATATATTTTCCACTATTTTTCTATGAAATGTATAGTTTTTATTTCATAATACAGTATACAGAGTATGTATATTTGTCAACGGCGGTAAATATTTACATGGGCTGATAGGCAAATATGTTTAACAAAGACTAGCTATGGTATTAGTAGCTGAGTAGTTGCGGTAACTGGTACCCGGTAAAGGCAGTAGCTAGGAAATTGGATTAGAACGTGACAAACTAGATAAACAAAGTCATCAAATTTTATTTTTTTCATCTCACCACCCAAGGCAACAGTTTTTGAAGATAATAACCAATTAATGAAAGAAAGGAAACTAGATTTAATATTATTATGACTAATGTAATTTTTGTTTTTGAAAGGTAAATTTCATAGAAGAAAATAAATTATATAAAAACTAAGAGCATACCCCTAAAAGAGGTTTAAAAAAGACTAGAACAAATATATCTATCTTTTTAAACATAAGGATAGAAACAAACGCTTAAAAGAGAGCATTCAAGCTCCAAACAAAATAAATAGATAGGCATAAACGCCCTAACAGAGCTCGGAGGCTCAAACCAAATAAAGAAGAGAAAACTAGCAATTGTGCTCAAGAAGAGTGCACAAACTCAGAACAAACAAAACCAATTAATCATTAATAATTTGCATTTTGTGGCATGAAAGTTTATTGAAACCATTAATTATTGGATTACAGTCTCTTGGGGTGGAACAAATTATCCGTGGATCCCAAGCGAGTGGCGTTGACATAATCTTGGGTAGAATGAGCTGATATACCGGGGGCTATAAGTCCGATTACTCTAAACACTCTGAGTAACCCTCCTTCTTTATAGTCCGGGCCCTTTGTGCGCCATAAAGTAAAGCTTCTTATCAGCTCCCAAGCTGCATTCATCATCATGATTATTGTCTCCAATGGTGAGAAGTAGTTCTTATTTGGCGCTTCTGCAACTACCTGCATGCGTTCGTTAAAAGCACCTTTCAATGTTTGAGTCTCGCATTGATGAGTTAATCTAAGATAATTTGACACATGTTTAGATATTTTAAGATTAGAAAAAAACCTAATTTAAACTTACTTACACTCATTAATTATTGAATAATTTTAAAGGTTGGTGCAGTTAATAATAATCATTTTAACGTGATGGTGATATTGAAAATACACACCTTTCCCTGATAGAAGCTGTTGTAGTAGATGCACTGCCCAAAGTGTTTGAACATGAGCTCAGAGTTATCAAAAGGCAGCCTAGGCACAATATCATAACTGTAAACAAACCTAAAGTAATTAACGGCGTTCTCTTTTAACTTCTTTTTCATGAACTCAACAAACTTTTCATCTCCTACCCTGGGTTGCCCAAATGTGTAAACACCCTCTAATCTCTCCAATAACTCTGTCTCCTCATGCAAAGCCAAAATCGCTGCAAAGAGAATAGCCAACGCACCGCCTAAACTGTGGCCTGTCACTATGTATTTTGCTCTGTCGTTTTTGCTTAAAAGTTCTTTTAACATATCCCTGATCGCATAGTATGCTAAAGGCGCAGGGCGGTTATCCTTTTCCTTCTCGATATCTTTGGGCCAACCTTTGACCTTTAGTAAACCTAGAGCCTTCATGAAACCACCATGAATCTTGCCTATGCCATCGATCTCATACCAAGAGAGATCAAAGTCAGAACTCCATGCGTCTGCATCAAAAGTTTCAGTACCTCTAAAGGACACAACAATAGTGTCCTGGCCAGACTCATTTTTATCAGAAAGCATAAAGGCTTGTGTCGTGGCTTTTTCTTGAAAATCTGCCATATTAAATTGAATGAGGAATAAGTGATATTAGTTAGCAACTCAGTCTACCATATAATTCCAAGAACAAGAAGCACTACGATAATTTTAGAATAGAAATTATAATCAATTTTTATTTTTTTATGACGTGTTCTCACCATTCCAGTAGTCATAAGATCCCAAAAATTCCATCTGCACAAAGACAAATTATATATAAGTACAATCGATTTATAATTTTACAAAGAAAAAATAAATAAATTAAAAAAGTTTAATCTCTGCTAGTGCTATATAAAATAATAAGCAACACATTAATTACTTAATTTGCACACAGAGAAAGATTTGTAGGTGATTATATTCGTATTAAGTTAATATACCTTCCAGTTTTGGGTGACGATAGTTTCGATGTAGGCTTTGTTCTCATATGATGCTTTGGATGCCATCATGGACAGTGCCGCAGAGTATCTTTCATCTCCATATTTGATACTAGGCTCCAACTCCACTCGCTTGTCCACATTTCCAGTAAACGATAAGAATGAAGCTGAATTTTTATCTGGCACAACCACCCTCCCTGCACCACACACATTGATTAATCAACAACGAATTAAAATCAGATTCTCATTATAATTAGACCAACAAATTGATCAATTGTTAATTATGCCCCAATGGAAATGAGAGTTGACTATGCAGACAGTACACGTATTTGGACAATCGTTTGTAAAAACACAACTACTTCTCGATAGTTGAGTGATTCGATAGGAACTCTTAAGTGTATTACTCAAAAGGTCTTGAGTTTTAATCTCTCATCGGTTGCTAATAGTATGTGTGTTCAAAACCGGTTAACCGGTCTGGTTATCCACTTTTTTTAACTGAACCGATTATGGGGAAAATTGGGTTTGAACCGATTTTCAATAACTTTGCAATGCATTTTTTTAAACGTGTTTTAGATAAAATTTTATTTATGAATTTCGTGTTAAATTCATATCTACAATACTGAATATTTTATGTTTAACAAATATTTATGAATTTCATGATCCACATTACATGAAAAGAAAATTAATCAATCTAGTGTGAAGAATTTATTTTGTTTTGATTGAATATTCTAACAATATTAATTATATATTAGTAGTTTTTCTTTTACTAATTAACTTTGTATTTATAAATTTAGTTAGAATCCTAGACAAATAATGGGAGAGCTGATTTAATCAACCATCTCATTCTCACCTAGTACCGGTTCTTAGAATTGTTTGAACCAGAAATTGAACTAGAAAACTGGTTCAAAAAATCTATAAACTGAAACAGAATCGGTTTTACTAAAACCTGATTTTTCGGTTTGATTTGGTTTATCAATTTTTTTTTAACACCGCTAATTAATAAAGATAATAACTAGGGTAATTACATATAACCGTTAGTTCAGAGTCGTAGGATAGACACCAAGACATCTACAGACCACCTCACGCGCTAAAAGAATACAGGAGAGCCTCAAGTCTTATCCACTTGGAATATTTAATTTTCTTTTCAATATTATAGTTGGTAATAGGGAAAGGGTATTGCCATTTAAGTGGATGGGACCCATTAGAAAATATTAAAATAAGAATAAGATGCTTTCAATATTCTTATTTCAATCTTTCCTGGAAGGCTTCCACAATGTCGGAACTTACTGTATTTGTATATAATATTATAAAGCCTTTGATGTAGTTGTTTGATGATATTATAATAGTATTAAGACAGAAAGCCAGCTAAAAATAAAAATAAATAAATTAGGCTTCCACAATGTCGGAACTTACTGTATTTGTATATAATATTATATATATATATATATAGTATTAAGACAGAAAGGCAGAAAAAAAGTTTTTAGGCTTTCAGTCAAAATAATGTGCGTACAATTTCGTATAAATTAATTATTTGTAGCATAACCTAAGTACCTAACCTTACCTAAACATTTTATGTTATTTTATTTTGCCCCCTCTATGGGATTGCCCGATGGTGGAAATCTCCACAATGTTGGAACTACTCTGAACTAACCGTTGCTGGATTAATTAGTTGGATCCAAAACTTAGATAATTTAATTGGGTATAATTCAAAAAGATTAAGAATTACATATAATTTATTGTTACATACAAAAATTAGAGTAATACTACACTTACAAAAAAAAATTTACAAAGATTTCATACAAACTGATGTGACAAAAAATGAATAGAATAATAAATTACTCTACTTTTTTTATTATTACATAAAAAATTAGAAAAACTCACTTTTCCATTAACTTGTTGTCACTTCACTTTGTATGAAAATCTTTGTAAGATTTTTTTTTGTAAGTATAGTATCATTGAAAAAATTAATCTAAGTTTGAATTATGGAATTTAGGGAAGTTGCTATCAGTTTATACATAACTTTTCTCATCTATATTTTTCTTCTAACTACAGTTTTATTCTAGCCACCGCTAAATCCAGATTAATCTTGAAAAATACCCGCTAATCGTTTAATGTCTCCCTCTCTTACACACTAACAGAAGGTACAGATTAAGTGATTAAGCTATTAAGCTTCTGCATGCAGGTCATGAATCAGAGGTTGACGTATATATAAACCTTGCACATATATATATGACAACGTCAAAGCCTCAAAAAATCACAGATAAATAATTAAATAAAAGAGAACAAACTAACCTCGCAAGAAATTAAGCAGGAGCACACCGAGGTTTTGGTTACTTGATAAAAGGTTTAGGAATAACTCAATCGTTGAACCAATAATTGACATTGGCTTTGCCACAGATCGCAGAAACTTCAGTACAACGATTGAGACAAATATGATCCACCTCCGACCAAAATCTTCCTCTTCTCTATAAGAGCTTTCCACAAATTTCCTCTTCTCTAGGTCACTGGAAAATAAGATGCGAAGGAGATCAAAGAAGCCCAACTCTTCAGGCTTCAGCACCATGTAACTGCCGGAGAAATTCAAGTCACCAGCCATAACGAAAGGATTTTAAGGAAATAAACTGGTAAAGACTTTGTTTTTGTTGTGACTCAACCCTAAAGCAATATATATATATAGTCATCTAATCATACATTTAGATCCATAAGGGAAATTGCCAGGAAATGGCAGCCATTCAGTTCTGGTGGGCCTGGTGGCTTGTTTAATTTAACACGAGGGATTTTATATTCTAAGTTGTATACTAATTTTTTTTATTCAAGTAATTTGTCTTTGTTTGTGTTATAATAATGCTATTTCCTTTAGAAAATGATATAAATTGTGAAAAGATATGTCACTTTAAAACATGTATAATATCATTATTGATTTTTTTATGTAAAGAAAAGCTTAAATCATCATGTTTAAAGCTTTTTTAATATGAGGAATACTAGCCTTACAAAGATACATACAAAGACAAATCATACCTTTAATCTTCATGATTGTCTTTTTCTTTCCCTCTCTCTTTCTCCTTTTTCAAAGATAGGATTTATCTTTGTACACCCTTCTTTGTATGCATCTATATAAGGCTAGCATTACTCTTTCAATATTAAAAAAGCAAGTTTCGTCAAATGCTTAATTATTTCGACATACCAATTAGCAATGTCCCTATTTAACAGTAGTGGGTTACGTATTCCTCCACCTTTGGTCAAAATGAGCATCCACTCACCTAACAAGGAAGCTGAATTATTTTGATTTTCGATGAAACTTTACACTGAAATCACACATGCCAGCTAACCAAAGAGTTACCTTTTTGAAATTTCAGTACTGAGCGTTTCTATGGTCCTAATTAATCACTGTTCTAAATGCTGAATGTCTACGCAGTTTGATTCATAATTCGGGAATACTTATTTATGAATCAGTGATAGATATATTATTGAAATGAATAATGTTACTCATATAAACTAGGGTGGTCTAATGGTTCGATATAAACTTTTAGGTGTATTATTTAAGAGGTCCTGAGTTCGAATCTCTCTTCGATTGTTAATAGGGGTAACCACTGAAACTCTTACTCGGCCAATAATTCTAGAGTCTCAGCGGATTAGTTAAGGTTTATGTAAGCTGGCTCGGACACTTCGATCATTAAAAAAAAATTTAAAAAAAAAAATAAACCTCATATAAAAGAGAGATCCCAAGTTTGTATTTCAACCATTTCCACATCTCAAATTACATTTTCTTTGAGTTCCATATTGCTATGAAAATCCACAATCAATTCTCACCTAATCACATGCACAAATAACACAGATAACGCACACACTACAAAATCAACAATCAACCAACTCAAGAACACCTAATATACCGTGGTTCACCTTTCCACAAAAGGAAAGATTACATCCACATTGAGCTCCAAGAATTTTTGGGCTCACTGCACTAAGAATAATCGTTATTACAAATTACAGGAAAAACTCTCACTGATTTACCCAAAGATCAATCAAGAACTCACTCACACAAACCTGACAAAAAATCTCTAGAGATGACCTGACCCAGTCTCTCTAAACCTGAAGGAACAATTACACAGATTTGCAACTCAAAACAAGATTGAAACAAACTCTCAAAACAGGGGCAAAAAACCAGATCTGTCGCACAAGAGGAGCAGCAGAAAAAAAATTCAGTTATGTGTAAAAAACTCTCTTTTATAGTTTGACCTTGCGTGCTAATTCTGGCCCTTGGATCTGATTGATTTCAGCTGTTGAGATCTGCTCTTAATCTTAAGTGAAATTGCAGCATTTTGCTTAATAAAATTCTGCAGAACTTTGCGTTTTTAGCTTCAGATATTAACAATTCTCCACCTTGAAGCTTAAAACTTCTACAATCCAAATTTCCTAAGTGCAGCTCACCATCATAAACTCCCTTCATAGCTCAGTTGATGCCTGTTACTTGACAAACAGTAGGTTCAAGCAATGCTTGAACTTGGCAGCAGTGACAATCTTGGTACCCATATCAGCAGGATTGTCTTCTATTGGGACTTTCTTCAAGATAATCAATCCTTGGGCAACTAGATCTCTGACGAAATGAAATCTGACATCCACATGTTTGGTCCTGTCATGATAGACAGGATTCTTGCTCAAGTGAATGGAGCTTTGGCTGTCTGAATAAATTGTGGCTACTCCATCAATCAAATTCACTTCAGTTAGTATTCCTTGGAGCCACAGTGCTTCCTTGAATACATCAGCAACAGCCACATACTCTGCCTCAGTTGACGAGAGTGCCACAATAGGCCGGAGCTGGGATTTCCATCTCACACAGTTTCCTCCTAATGTGAAGACATAAGCAGTAGTTGATTCTTGTGTCTTTATCCCCTGCAAAATCAGAATCTACAAAACCCACAAGATCAAGTGAATTATATCTTTTACAATATTCCAAACCAATATGTGAAGTGCCATTAATATACCTCAGAACCCATTTAAGGGTTGACCAGTGTTCTGACCCAGGATTTGACATAAAACGACTCAGCAGTGACATAGAAAAGGAAAGGTCAGGTCTGGTGCTAATCATGACATACATAATTTACCCTATTACATTTGCATAAGGGACTTGTTCTATCTTTATTAACTCAGAATCTGTTTTGGGACATTGGTGTTTACTAAGTGTGAAATGACTTGCTAAAGGCATAGATACAACCTTTGATTCAACCATATTAAACTTAGAAACTAATTTTTTCAAGTAAGAGCTTTGAGTTAATCTTAATTCATGACAGTTTCTATTCCTATGTATTACTATTCCTAATATCCTTTTAGCACATCCTAAGTCTTTCATGCCAAACTCAGCCTTAAGTTTACTCTTTAGCCCATCTATCCTAGATTTAGATTTGCTCATCAAGAGCATGTCATCCACATATAAGAGTAAATACAAAGGCATATCATTATCCAAAGCAAAATAAAAGAAACTATCATATTTGATCCTATTAAACCCAAAGCTTAAAATAAATGCATCAAACCTCTTGTACCACTGCCTAGGAGACTATTTCAGTCCATACAATGACTTATGAAGCAAACACACATAATTTAGAAGTCTTTTATCAACAAATCCAGCAGGTTGTCTCATATATATTTTCTCTTCTAGGTTTCCATGTAGAAAAGCAGTCTTAACATCTAGTTGCTCTAGTTCTAGGTCATAATGTGCAACTACAGGCAACATAATCCTAATTGTTTTATACTTAACTACTGGTGAGAAAATTGTATTAAAATCAATGCCTTCCCTTTGCGTGTAACCTTTAGCTATAAGTCTAGCCTTATACCTAGGAGGGTCAGAAGAGTTTATACCTTCTTTTACCTTGAACAAACATCGACATTCAACTGGTTTCTGATCCTTTGGAGTTAGGACTAAGGACCAGGTTCTGTTGACCTTCAGAGACTGCATTTCTTCCTCCATTGCAACCTGTCATTTGTCATTGTCCTTTGATCTGATTGCTTCCTCATAGCTATCAGGTTCTGATCTTAGTACTTTAGCTCCAGCCACCAGTGCAGTGAAGATCAAATCAGCATAGGAGTATCTTGCTGGAGGTCTGATCTCTCTACGGGTCCTGTCTCTGGTTAGCTGATACTGTGCCAGGGACTTTTCTTAGGTTGGTTCTAAGATCTCAGCTGGTTCACCCTCTTGGTCATGATCCAAGAGTGCCATTTCAGTTTCTTCATCTGATTTTTCTTCATCAGGTTGAATACTTGAGGGCTCCACCTCAATTTGTGTCCCTGCATTTGGTTCTTGACTCATAAGATCAATGCTAGAGGTACTTGCATCATGGTTAGTAGTTTTGCTAGGAAAAATATCTTTATTAAAAATAACATCCCTACTGATTATTACTTTAACCCTTGGTGATGTTCTTTCCCATAATCTGAACCCCTTAGTGCCTTCTTGATAACCGAGGAAAACACACTTTAGTGACCTAGGTTCAAGCTTCCCTTCATTTGTGTGTGCATAGGCTGCACACGCAAAGACCCTAAGGTGGTTTAGGTTTGGCTTTCTTTTGGACCATCTCTTCTCTGAACAGGTGAAATCTATTGCACTAGAAGGGCTTCTGTTGACTAAATATGCTGCAATGTTGAGGGCTTCTCCCCAAAAGGTCTTGGGTAATTCTGATGTGAACAGTAAGCATCTCACCTTTTCTAACAACGTCCTATTCATTCTATCAGCTACTCCATTTTGCTGAGGAGTTCCCCTGACTGTTCTGTGTCTCAAAATACCCTGATCACTACAGTATTTATCAAACTCTGAATTGCAAAACTCTAACCCATTATCTGTCCTAAGGGCTTTAACCTTTCTGTCCACCTGATTTTCTACAAGTGTTTGCCAATTCTTGAACCTATCTAAAGCCTCATTTTTAGATCTAAGCAGAAAAACCTACGCTTTCCAACTGTAGTCATCCACTATCGACAGGAAATAAGTGCTGCCCCCATGAGATTTTATCTTTTCTGGCCCCCAAAGATCAGTATGTAAGTATTCTAAACAGTTAGTGGCCTAGTGTGTCCCCTTATGAAAACTTAGCCTATGTTGCTTCCCCATTATACATGTTTCACAAAACTTCAGATCACTAATGACATCCCTACCAAACAACCCCTGTTTACTTAGAGTATCTAGGCCTTGTTGGCTCATATGCCCTAACCTTAAATGCCATTTTTCAGTGTCTGTCAGATTTGTAGTAAGCAAACAATTAGAATAGTAACCCCCACTCAAGATGTACAGCCCATTTTTCTTTACCCCACTAAGTACTATGTTGTTACCCTTATAGACATTTAAGCAACCGTTTTCTGCCTTATAACAACTCCTAGATTCATCCAAGGTTCATAAAGAAATCAAGTTTCTCTTAAGATCTGGAATGTATCTAACCTTAGTAAGTTTGACTAATTTTCCATTATTCATCCTCAAAGATATGCTACCAACTCCCTGAACCTTACAAGCATTGTTGTTTCCCATAAACATAGTCTCACAGTCATTTGGTTCAAAATCTTGGAACCAATTTTTGTTTGGGCTTATGTGGAAAGAACAACCAGAATCTAACATCCATTCCCCTATGGTATCAACCTTAGACACTGTTACGACCTCTGATTCTTCAATGCTATGTTTGGTG